CTCTTTGTGGAACATTCTACGTCATTCCTCGAACATTCTGCCTATTTTTCGTTGTTCGCTTTGTGTTGCCGCAGTATTCGCCACAATAAGAATAAAGAGCAGAGAACGTTTAAAACAGAGAAGCAGCAATTACGAATAGCCGTGTGAATTGTCAAACACTACCAAAATCGCTCTGGAAGCTCACCACTCCAATCGAAAATTGAGAGCGGAAAATTAACAGATCTGAGCTGCAAGTCAACAGAGCTGAGCGGAGATACAATTTTGTTAATTTGTATCAATGTTAAATATTTTGGTTTGGATTTTCTATTTCGCGGCATTGATTTAATAAAAAAAAAGATTAAAATTCTTGGTTAAATTAATGAAAATTAATTTACTAAAACATATGCCAGGGAATGCTTTAACTCCAAAACGTAGATTTGTTATCTAATAAATATGTGAAAGCTATGCAAATATGCAAACTCATTGGTGATTTGCCGTCGGCATTTGGGTCGCAAAAATCGTAATTTTTTTTTTAACGATTCTTATTGTAGTTGCTGCGCTATTTTCAATGCAACAAACCCCAGTTTTCTAGGTGCCTTAGTTTTTTCCCAAACTCACTTTAAAGATGGACACATTGACAAAAAAAGCTTACAAATGCGTACTCTTTGGTAATTTGTTGTCGGCATTTAAAAGCGAAGAAAAAATCAGTTTATATTTTTTAACGATTGCTACGCTGCTTTCAATGCAACAAACCGCAGTTTTCTTGCTAGTAAATTCACTTCAAAGATGGATACATTGACAAAAACGTACAAAAGCATCAATTGCAAAGTGGTTTTTCTCGAAAAGTTATGTTTGAGTTTTATGAACATTTATTTCGAGAAAATATGCCATATGCATATAACCTAAGCAAACACCTTTTCTTAAAATCTCAGACCTTTTACTCGATTTGATCAAATAAATTTAAGTGAAACTTATGAAATTTTAAGTAAAAGCAATTGCTTAGTTTTTATGCATACGGACCAATGTGTTGAATGATGATTTTCAACTGCAATACTCGTGTTACATGTAAATAATGGGGCTCATTCATCGTCAAAATAAAGTTGATACTAAAGTTAGTTACAGCTGTTTCACATCATTTCCAGTGGAATAGGTATCTGTGAAAAAAGCTGCAACTATCTTTCTTCCTATTATGCATGCGCATATGGATGCTTGTAGTACACACAGATGCGATCAACTAATTAGCAACGAAATTCAAAATGATATTGTTTGCACTTTCACTTACTTATACTGTAATTGAATGGACTACAATACCCGAAAATTTTTTAAATATTCTAATTAAAAATTTGGATGACCATTTCTTGAAGTTTGATACGTTTTTTTGCAATTTGTGCAAGCTTTTAAACTTTTATTATTGTGGTTCTTGTTACAGATTGAGTAATATTTTAAATCAAAATCATTAAAAATAAATAAACTTAATTTGCAAACAATATCATATTGAATTTCCTTGCTAATTAGTTGATCGCATCTGAATGTGTGTATGTACATATGTACATATGTACCCAATACACATACTCCAAAATCATTTATTGATAACGTTCTTGCACATGCACATAATATTACATATATGTATGTACATACATACTAACTTTCTTCTTATTTGGGGCTGACAAACTTTAACTTAAGAGTCGACTTTATTTCGTCTACTAATATGCCCCAATAGTTTTGGAGTCAAATGAAAATGCATTTTCTACGCATACGTATGTACATGCTCCATTAATTGATAACGTTTTTGCATGCATATATATGTATGTGCATATTACTGCCAAAAAAACTACGAACATGCATATAAATGTACATATGTACAAATCACGGCAGCATACATACATATATATGCACATAATTACACGTATACTCAAATACAACAATAACTATTTCATTCATAAACGCATTTGCATATTTCTCAAGGCCAAGTAAATTCATTCATAAAAACAACCGCAGCACATCCCCCCGCAAATTCATCACCAACAAGCGCAACTTTGTCAATCCGACACAAAAATTCTAAAATCTTAAAATGAAGAAATCTCGGCCAGCCAAGTGAAAATTGGCAATTATTTCTCTATATCCAGTAAAATCAGTTATCTCGAATCTTGGCAATTTTTGGTAATTTTTGGTAATTTTTGACAAAACACTCTATTTCTCTGTTCCATACCAAAATTTCAATCATTAACTAGTATTTTAAAGTGTCATTTTAATAAACATTAAATAAAAGTGTATGTTTTCTGCAGCAAAATACATTAATTTTTTTTTAATAAAATCAAAACTTGTAAAATCACAAACATATGTGGTTTTATCGGAAGTTCACAGATGTAACGTGGCAACTTAGCTCGTTTTCATATTTTTCGGTCCGAAATTGTAAAATTTTTGTCCATGCCGCGCCACAATTTTTGTACAGGTGGGTCAATGTGCCTTGAACAAAATTTATATATATACAAAAAAATTATTTTATTTATTTTTTAATATTAAAAATTTCTATACTTCCAAGCGTTTATAAAAATATATTTACATATATGCACGAACGACTTTTAATATTTTTCATCCCTAAGCAAATCTTCAGTACCATAAAAGATTCAAACACATCAAAGTACAAGCAATGCAATGTTCAACCTAGTGCTCCTCCACTGTACATGTGTATATGAATGTATGCATGTATGCGTGTAAAAAATGTCAATTCCAGTTGGTTTTTAACCCTTTTAGCGGACATAGTTTTTTTGGTTTCAGCTGGTTGGAACTGTTAATGAAGCACAATTTTTATGTTTAATCTTTATGAAAGTTACATGTATCGTCGAGAACATGGTTACATACAGAATTTTAAATTAATTAATATTATTCACCATACAAAATGTACGAGTATTGCTTTATTAAATGCAAACTTATGGGAGCGGCGAGGGGAAGACGAAAGCCGACCAATCGCACATTTGTATGTACATATATATGTTACATACATACATTACATATCTACATATTTACAAATAAATGTGTACATACGTACATATTTATGCGTTTGGCTTTTTGCATGAATAGAAAATTTGATTGCAGAAATAATTTTAATGAAATTAATTTTGCAAACACATTTGTACTATATAATATTAAGTTTATTAATTAATATCGGTATTTTGATAACAAGCCATAGTTTGTTAGACACACATACGTACATACACAGGCAATCAAGAGTGATTGCATAGTTCTTTTTGTTTAATATTTATAATGTTTTTCAAATAAAAATTTTTTTGTTATATTTTTATAAAAACATGGTTCATGCTTTAATCGAAACCACATAAGTCAAACTTTAAAAATTTATACAGAACGTAGAAAAATTCAACAAATTTTCATCTAAATTTTCTACTTTTGGGTACGTAGATAGATGGTTATATATGTAATTCTAGTGAAACAAGTGAAAGTTTTAAGCGGATAAAAAATCGCGTGAATTTTTAATGAATTTTTTTCCGACGTATTTTGCGGTTTTATGCATATAACAGGTGTAATTTATAAAATATAGTGTTTAATTTTTGTTTTATTATTTTGTTTGCAAACGGTCTTGCGCATTTTATTCTACAAGAAATTCGCTTTTATGTATATGGTAAAAAGTACAAAAAGTGCATTAAAAATCTACGCGATTTTTTAGCCGCTTAAAACTTGCACTTGCTTTTCTACCGATCTATCATTCTAAAAACTCAGATTAAAAAGTTCAAAATTTAGACGAAAATTTGTTGAATTTTTCTAAGTTTTGTATAAAGTTTGACTTATGTGGTTTTGATTAAAGCATTAACCATATTTTTATACAAAAAAATAACGAAAAAATTGTAACCGCGCGCAGCATTTGTTTATTTGCATATGTGCATACATATAAATGCATCTACATAGGTACTATGTATATGTATTTACAAACATTTTTATGGGCTTGCCTTTTAGCGTGTTTAAAAGTTTTTAAATGAAGAATTTACTAATTGTTGACGAAAATATGGTTTACAAAATTTTCGCAAATTTATATTAGTTA